GTCAAGTCTGGGTTCCCCTTGAATGTACTCTGGTGGTGGTGAAGTGTGCATACTTGAACCTCTTGTTGGGTGGTGAGGGCGAACATGTTTGTTGTGGTGAGCTATCATACCAATTTGCTGTGGTGTCCCTTGTTGAGGACATCATCCTCAAATAGTATCCAAAGACCTTGTTGGCGTTTTGTGAGGCAGTTAGAACAAGGCAACAAGGGTACTTTCCTATCATATAGAGTCGGCAGAGATTTTCTGGCTGTGTCATTTTTAGTACATTAGGAATGCTCGATAAACGACATCATCATAGTACTAGTAGTACACGTATATTGATCAATACTTCTTCTCCGACCCCCAACTCCCCCATATGACTACTACTACTAGCTAGTAGTAGTAGAATTGTGTTTATCTGGCACCATTTGATTCATGTGCTTACTATACTTAAGCGTCTGTTAGGGACAAAGTTATGGCTGTTCAATTGAGTTGAACCTCTCTTAATATTCTATGTGTTTCTCTACTGTGCGTCTGCTGCTCTTACGGTAGCTTCCAGAGATACTAGAACTACGAGTACTCTTATTTGTAGCTATGTACTATTAATAGTACGCCTGTTTCCAAGTTAGGAATACCTCACCGCTCTCAAGTTCGAGTACGCGTACGGGTACGTACTCGTATGCGGCCATGTCAGATCGAGACTTGGTTTTCGCTGTGATTAGCTATGATTTCGAGCACGTGCGGTGCTCGCCTAGTTGTTCATCGTTGTTCCATGGTACGACTGTATCGTACAATGCCGTACAATTCGGACTGCAATTCGAGAAACTTACCGCTAAGTGCCGTACTAGCACTATTATATGACTCTGTACAGTACAGTACAGTACAGTACAGTTTTAATAACCCCATGGTTCGGAGACACCAATGACGAAAAAGTACGTCTACTTCGATATTTCTTAGTACTAGTATTATCGGAAGCCTTGTTCAAGCAGTTGGTTAGCAATAGGCCTGATGGAAAGAGAATATTAAAGTACTTCTTCTTCAGAAGATTTAGGAACTTCACGTGGTACGGAATAATTCTGAATCGAGATTTCCTATCTACAGAAATATCATCTGTAGGGAACGTTCACTGATTATCCTGACAGAATAATGAAAATAAAAATCCTTAGCAGTAGATTTATTGGTCTCGTGTCGACAATTACACAACATTTATCGTTAAGTAAAAAAATGATATGCCTTGGCCCTAAGATTTTTTGAATCTACATGCTTATCCCAGTAAGTGAATTGCTCGCCTCTAACCCATCTGATCGCTCTGGTCGTGATTTCATACCCGTAGAATGATTGTGTAACTCGTAACTATGACTACGTACTGTACGAAAATAAAGAGCACTTATGATAYCCCTTGCGTGGTTTTGTGTACGTAATGATAGTACTGACCGGTACGTACCTTACATCAGGGTTCATAAAGTAGGACCCCTGCCTTACATCCCCTTGCTTTCGATCCGCTATCTTTTGATATTTTTGCTAGGAGTAGTTTCTCGCGCAATTATTTTTAATACACAGGGAAAAAGATAACAACGTAATGCGACAAAAAATCTTTTCCACGATGTCTACATCAACCAAAACCAAAACGAATACATTTCCATGGGTACTCCATGAAATGMTCGAGACGGCACACGAAAAAGGTTTCGATGGAATCGTTTCTTGGCTGAAGGATGGAAAAAGTTTCAAAGTGCACGACCCTGCCTCATTTGTTGAAAAAATAATGCGAAAGTTCTTCCAGCAATCCAAGTACAAGAGCTTCCAACGGCAATGTAAGACCTCCTCTAGGATAGTTCTATTGCTATTTGTTTCTGCTGCCCTAACAAACCGGTGTTTGTACTGCATATTTCTGCCTGGCTTTCGTTTCATTCTCAGTGAACCTATGGGGCTTTCAACGGATAGCATATGGTCCAAACAAAGGGGGATATTATCAYCCAGAGGGCTTCTTTATTCGGGAAAAACGCTGCAAGATCCACATGATGCAACGACAGAGGATCAAAGGCTGTGTGTTGAAAGACAAATCCAACAAGAACGCCAAAATAGATGATGATSATGTAGAGAAAGGAAACATCACTGAAATCGATAACACAGTTATAGAGGCATCAGGTGCTGCCTCTATCATAAGTCAAGGGAGTCTCGTTGACATTAATAATGATGCATTAAATKTTGGCAGAGACTCTGCTGAGCCTTTTTTACCACCTTTAAAATCACTTCAAAGTTCGATCTCTGATGAAGAGTCGTCGAGTCTACTACAACTCGAACTGAAAGACGAATTCAGTATCGACCCTGAAGTAGGTGATTGCATCGRCTTCGCAGGACGATCGTTCTTTTTCACAGAGGAGGAAGCAGTTGAAAACACACCATGTACGGTATCAAGCAGCATGACTCTTGCAAGAAGGCTTCACCCGCAACAACGGGTTGCTCTACCACCTGTTTCAGTTCTGCTCCCAAATACGTATCTATGTACTGCAAACATGATGTCACAGATTTCTCGACGTCGTGTTTCTATAGGGATATTTGGCGCCGCTTGCAAGCCAACGACTGGTTGCTGAACAAATCAATCTATGACATTCACACGCTGGAGATACGAAGGCCGCCATAACATGATTTTTTACTTTGGTCCAAGTACACTGAATGATTGAGCACTTCAATTATCTAAGACCTCATTTTTTAGTACCATCTTTCGGGGTGAAAACACTACTTGTACAAAGACAACCCAAATTACGCGTCCATGACTAGGTTGTGCTGCAGCGTTTATTAATGTACGAAACAAATGAATTAGTTCCATGCTATGCAACTTGGCTACTTTACTTCTACGAGACAAGTAAGATAGTGAATCACTTCTGCTTTCTTTGATATCATCTTCTGGCCAACCGAGAAAGATTATTTCTTAATTGTCTACTTTAACGAATGGTAGAAGAAACATKGCTTGATTTCTTTTTGATCCGCAGAGTTTCCATCCCATATTATTCTGAACAAAGTTATAAAAAATAATACGAATCACTGTACTTCGGATTGATTTACGATAGTACGATGTCGTACGAGTTGGTGAAATTGGTGGAAAAGCATTCGGAAGCTAAAGATAGATTCATCTTGTAATGTACCGTACATTAAGTACTACTTGGGTACCACTGTACTTCCTATGTTACTACAAAAATAATATCTTYGGTTGAATACAGAATATTCTTTTATCATCTGATTGGCTATTGATCTGAATGATCATTATCCGATTGGGTGAGACCCATAATTTGGCACTAAAGGTAGCAACTCTTGGATTGTGGCAAGAAGATTCCGGAAGCACGTGGTGTGTGAAAATGCATACGTATGCTCTTTCGTTCACTACAAGGTGTTGTACGAGGTACGAACCCAAGGTGTGGATGGAATCCAAGATAGGTTATGAGTACAAAAAAACGCGCCAGTTTTTAGCTTTGAGCAGCTATCTTTCTTGCTTCCTTCTTATTCTTGGTAGCAAAGCACCAATCAGAATAAGAGAATCCATCAGTCAGAAAGGGTTTTCTTTTCTCTCCACAACCATGTGCATATTGCTATGTGAATTTTGAAGAGAACCGTTTCCAGCTTGTTGATTTCTCTGCGCACCAAAAATTTGAAAAAAACTCATTAACAGCACAACCTCATCATATGGACCTGTCTCGCACCATAKATGAATCATTAAACAACACTTTCCAGTCCACACACACACCAAAATAACTTACTTCATTGCAACAAGRACAGGGGGATCTGGAAGTCTTGGATTGATCAGCCAAGTGGATTGGAAGAAAATAGCTGTATTCAACAAGCATGGAAATTGACGAAAAATCAAAACAAAAAGAAGCTCCATTGCAACCAGCAAAACACCATCTTATCTTCCATAACATAGACAGCCAGTGTGTTCAAAGTCCTTAATACAAAAAATTAGAGGCAATCCAGAAGTTTTGGATCAATTGACCAAGAAGTAACAACAACAACAACAACAACAACAACAAGAACAACAACAACAACAGCAGCAGCAGCAGCAGCAGCATCAGACTTGTGAGCGGCCCTCCACTTTACCACTGATGGTTGAGACATCATTAGTTGATGCTGTTGCTTCTTCTTACGGTGCCCTTGGTTGTTCTGAGATGGTAGAGCAGCCCAACCAAAAGGCACTGACCGAGCCCGTCACCAAGATGCTCTTGCTGGTGCAAAATATTCTAGCCAGCAGTTTATTATCACAGGTGGAGGCACACTTAACACTGATGATCATTTTATTGCTGAAGWAAGGAAGGAAAAATGACAACAGATTAAAGACCTGGAGACACTAAAGAAGAAGGCAGTATCTGAGTTCAATRTCAAGACTTCCAGATTTATTGAAGAGTAGTATGCCTCCAAGGGGAAAGATGTTAACAAAGACAAAGATGCCAAGTCCCTACCGGTTTCTACACTCAAGATATTGTGCAAGTGCAAGCAACAAAAGAAGATTCCTGCAAAGAAGCAAGATTTGCGAATTTAGAGCTGAAACATTTTTTTCCAAACCGGAAAAGGTTGAGACTACTCTAGTACCCAAGAAGGGGGTTGGGAATATAAAATTTAGGGTACAAATAGGAGTATACTGGTACAGAAACAGTTTACAGACATACCTCTTCCTTTAGGCCTAGAGGGGCCTTTTCCTGTTGTCTACACTGTCTTGGCCAACATTGAGGGGTGTATCTCCTTCCCACAGATTGTTCCATTTCTTTCTCGGGCATTTGCCACTTCTTGTTACTAAAGGCTTCTAAGGTTAACTCCAGATCCTTGATGATGTTGGTGAAGGCTTCCTCAACATAGAACAGCTCCTGGACTCTGTAGTCACTTGACAACATAACACAGTTAGTGGTGAGCTTGTTGTTGTTGTTGTTGTTGTTGTTGTTGTTGTTGTTGTTGTTGTTGTTGTTGTTGTTGTTGTTGTTGTTGTGATTCATGGTGAGTGGTGTTATCTTCTTCACGTTGTCCACTTGGGAGGGGTTCTTCAAGGCAAGGCAGGAGAATTGGCTTGTTTTGACCATTGTCATTGCTTCTTGTTTCCTCATGTGATAAGGTGGTTAGTAGTTACTGTGCACAAAATAACATGTACTCATGAATTAGAATGTTGTTTTAAGGTGAATTATAATGAAATTAGCTTAGGTTTAGGTCCTCTTGATCTATTCTTACATGGTTTCCTGGGTCTTATCTAAAACAACTACTACTATATCTGGAAGAGAGGGGCACGAGGGACAGGAGAGCACTAGTAGGACTTGCAATTTGTAGATCATATACTCAATCTGCCTTCCACCACCATCTCTTCCACTCAGGACTTGACGAAGAAGCACTCCTCAACCACTGTTGTGGTGTACTAGACCACAAGAAGGTCTTCGTCACCAGAGAGCGCCTTGAGATCTTTGCTCCACCAGTTCATGCTGACAAATATAATGTAAGAAACAACAAGACAATGGCAACATCATGGAAGTTCCTTGTTATCCCACCATTGGAAAGTCCAGGGGAAACAGTAGGGATGTCCATGCAATCTGTACTATTGGGCTGCGTGAGCAGTTGGCAGTGCAGAGAAATGGTTTGGTGAGTTTTGAAAAAATGCTCCTTCATATCATAGCTATGATTCTGAATTTATTGCAATGATGAGCAGGATTTCCATATGATTGTTATGTTTAGATTTCAAACAGTGCATGCATGATTGGTTAACTCATCCTGCAAACAAGAAGATGCAAGGTTTTAATTTCAAACATCATGTTTCTTTTTGTGTTGAAGAAAACTGACCATGCAAGAAAGAAGAAAAGTAGCATCTYAAATTTCAACTGCCTGTAAAGCAGAAGTAGAGGTGAGTCCAAAGGCCATTGAAAGAGATCTTACTACTGGTCCCCCTGGTTTCACAAGACAAGCCCTAGAGATACTGTTGCAGTTATTTGTTTTCCTTTTGGATTGCCTCTCTTCATGATGATTTGGCGGCTGATCTACTCAGTCTGACAGGGTAGATATTGAATACTGGCTGAATGAGACCAAGGAAATGCCTGGAGACCCTATGGTCTACAATAAAATCAGTGTAGAAGAGTCTGGTCACACCCAGAATTGATTGACGTTGTTCTTATCGTCTCTGTGGGAAATATGAGATTTTTGTGTCTGCATTAGAAAATCTGTCAGCAACTACGGCCCGCAGATTTTGTAAAAATTAATAGAAGTCTAAGTCTATTCTTCAACTAAAGTCTCGTCCCCCATTTAGAATCAGTCACCCATAAGTCTTGGGAATAACTCTTCTTGTGAGGTAAGGCATCTGTATGCCGTTCGACAGATTGACTCTTTATCGTTGTGTGGTAAAGCATCGTAAGATGCCTTTAAATCTCAAGTGCCATCGGCACCTCTATGAATTATGGATTGTAGGTCAATACCATTATTTCAGTATCAAAATCCGTGGAAAAGCATCGCCATGTACACCTTCACGAATTATAGTTTGTATGTGGGAGCAGTTGTTTCAGTACTGAACTCTGTGAACATATCAATATCCACTTCCTCGAATACCACGATTGTAATATCGATAGAGGTCGATACTACAAAGGTGGCAGCCACCAAGTCCAGCAGGACGCACAAAATCTGCCCATTCGTCCGCTTTTTCGAATATACATATAATCTGGAAATTTTTTTGGTCTCCTTAGAGAAAGCTTGTCCACAACTACGSTCTGAGTGACAGTACCTACTTCACTGCCATTCGTAATTTGTTGCAAGGTAACAAACTGTTTCCGTCGATMTTTGAAGTTTAGATTATCGCCAACCTGGTGACACGTTCTAGAATCAGCGACGTACAATTTGTTTCGACATAGCATRAAATAAGCACCAGGGTCGAGGTTAAATTCCATCAACTGATCACATCGCGGTTCTCTATTTCGCCCATTCTGTACACAAATTAAGTAGTCGGAAAGATTAATTGAACTTGAATGAGGATTGAATATTTCGATGTATTCTGCTTCTTCGCGTCTCGGGTTAGGCAGCATTTCGAAGATAATAGGAGTCTTGTTTGGATCGTCGTCTTCCTCCTGCGGATCCGATGGCACCGGCACAGGTGCGGCAGTCGGCAGTGGTGTCGGTGGCTGCGGCTGTGGYTGAGAACGGAAAAGAGAGAAACATGTTAAACTGATGTAAAAAAACCAACGAGATTTTCATGAAGTAACAAGAGATCAAATTATATCAACTAAACTTACAGCTGTAGTCCAACAGGGGTGCTCACAATCGTCAAAATAGATTGCAACAAATGCCTCATCTATACTGCTACCGTAACTGCTGAATTCGACGACAAGATTTCGGCCTTCATATTCAAAATTGTAGAAAACCTGTTTGGTACCCGCATTAGGATGTAAACCAGCAATGAAATTTGAGACTTTGTAGCCATCTTCCTTTTCGATGATTGTAACCTTGTCTCCACTATCCATCACATCCGAATTCATATTTTTTTTACGGTTGTATCCAATGTATAAGTCCTCACCGTTTCTGGGTCGAGGTATCCTTATAACGCAGGTTTTGCCGTTTGAGTTTGTGCCATAGTCTGCTACACCCACAACAACTCCAGCCCAGGTACCCTGTCGTGAAGGATTCCATTCGACAACGCAATCGCTRTACCAACCGAGCTGGTAACTTTTGGCCGGATTAAAGCACTGCTGGGGCGTATCATCTCCCTTGTACGAAAAACCCATCATTCCTGATCTATCTGCATATGGGTTGCCGTCCTTACCCGAATGGGCGAGTCCCATATTGTGTCCCATTTCGTGAACAAGTGTGCTGAGCTGTTGGCACCATTCGTCGTTGTAGACAGAAAGCCAGGAATTGACATAGGCATATGCAACCCAGCTCCCTGTACCTGGTGGCATACATAGCATGACATGATCATATTGATTCGCCAGATTTCCCATCTGGTTTTCAGCGGCGCTTGTCATAGCTTTCTCGATGTCGAATCTGTTCTTTCCGTTGACGTCTGTGTGTATATTTACTTCWMTGACACCATTCCCATTATCATAGGGCTCGAAAACGAGTTTCCCATGCGAGCACTGCTCGTATTGAGATTTGAGAGTGACTTTGTCCCCTCCAGTCCCGAATATATTGTTCGAAATTTCCATCCTACTGCCGGTAGTTTGTGAATCGTAAGCATTAGCGCGGACGACCAAAACCTTTTTCGTTCCGACTTGAGCCATCCTTCGGCTTCCCTGCTGCATTCGGAGCGACCGCCATCGCATGAAACCCCCTTCATCTTCTCCATCATTAAATTCAACATCATCAACGGTCCCAATTTCGATCGCAGCACCCTGCGGAATTTGAAGGGCACCGTCCATGAGGACCGCACCCTCCGCCACCAAGGTCGACACTCCACTTTCAATGTAGTTCAGCTGGCTATTTTCGATTCCCATAATTGGCACAAAATACTGTCCGCCCGCTTTTGCGACATCAACCTCTGAAAGTTCACATCTGACCTCGTCGACATCTGCCTGTTGCGCATTGTCTACAAAGTGTGAAAATATGGACCCTTCTTCTACTTCAACCTGTTCGTACTCGGTTTCTACACGCACCAGAATACAGGGGTAGTCCGGCCGTTTGAGTTCCCGGTGGCGTTGCTGCTGGCCCCTTAATGATGATCCAAACTGAAGGAATGCGAGGAAATTATTAAAGGTAAGAAAATATTTTCGGAGCATAATCAAATCTTGAGAGTCAGTGCCTCATATAATTTATCAGTTTAGAGAAGCAATATATCTTTGCGAGTCTGTTCACAATCCAATCTCATGTTATTCTCGCCAACGTACCTCATCATGTTTGGAATTGGAAGCATCGTGCTCTGCCTGGGAGGAAGCAACAAGCAATATGTATACTACCAACGACAAGATTCCTGACGGAAAAGTGTTCGCAGCCAGTCCCGTCATGGTTTGTCCGTTGCTTTGTCTGTCGGGGATATCTTTCTTGCCGACAACTCAGGAGCCTAATGTTTTGAAATAAAATTCTTCTATGGGAATTAACTAAATACATTTGACGGCTGTTCTCCTGATGTCCATATTGCGACGACCAAGATTTGCATCGGAGATAAATCATAGACAATCGTTTTCGTCGACTCCTCCATAAAAAAAAGTGATCAACGGTCCTATTCTTTCAGTCGTAAAAAGCAAAAGAGGCGTGACTCGCGTGCGCGATGGAGAAATAGACTTTCTCGACCGTCGGATCAATCTGCACTTCAAAGTATGTTAATTACATAGTGAAAGTAAGATAATACAATTCCTTTTGGGACATTGCCGCCATTTTCGGAAGCGCCATTTTTATCATATCTTTCTATACAAAGGATGCCCGACGCGCCATCGACAAATTTCATTCGTGTCATTTTCTGATAGTATTCAAATTCAAGTCTTTAAGTGTGACTTTATATTATATTCATGTATTAACAATGTTTCATAATCAAACACGTTCCCGAAAGTTCGTCGGATAGCTTAAAAGATAGACAAAATTTGGTGTTGTCTCACAGCCGTGCTTGCGACCAAAATATCCGACCAATACTTAGCCGACTGTGTCCAACGATGAATTGCGCGCCATGATGGAGCTATCAACGGAGACTTTTTTGGTTACTAGTTAAAATTTCGAGTCCTTGTCCGCCTCATTTTCACACGATTCACGTCCTTTTCGTCCAAACAATGCTACCAGCAAAGCACATGTTGTGATAAATGCTTCGTCTCGCACCTCAAATACGTGCATACCCGTTTCGCTAGACAAAAAGGGTAACATACCTCTTCCGACGCAGTCATCCTCACAATTTACAAGTTCAGCAACTTACCAAAGACTTTCACACTCTACACGAACAGTCAAAGCTGCTATATTATAACGATGAAGATCTCTATCGTTTCACTATTGATCGGCCTCACGGCCACCTTCGCATCTGAAGATGCTGTCGCACCTGTTGAAGTAGCCGACGAAGACCGTGAACTCAACTCATACAAATACGGATACATCTGGGACGGATACTACGGCAGCAAGGGAGGAAAAGGAGGAAAGGGATCCAAGGGCGGATACTACGGACCTGGTTATGGTTCCGTCGGCTACGGTTC